AAGACATTTAAATTGATTGACAAGAAGGAGCCAGTCATGTGAAGGTCTGGGGGAAGTACATTTAAGAAAACTAAAACATACAGTGCAAAGATCCTGGGGTGGAATAAACTTGGTGTGTGTGTGTAACTGAAAAAAAAAAAAAAAAGATACTGTGCTGAGGGCAAGTGAGAGAAGAGGGTAAGTGGTAAGAGGAGGCACGTTAGTTTGCTGGGGCTGCTATAATAAAGTACCATAAACTGGGGGCTTCAACAAGAGAAATGTACTGTCTCACAGTTCTGGAGGCTACGAGTCCAAGATCAAGGTGTCAGCAGAGTCGGTTCCTTCTGGGGGCTGGGAGGGAGAATCTGTCTCACGCCTCTCCCCCAGCATCTGGTGGATTTTTGGTGATCTCTGCAGTGCTTTGGCTTGTAGAAGCATCACCCCATCTGTGCCTTCATCTTCACCTGACGTTCTCCATGCATCCAAATTTCCCCTTCTTATCAGGACAACAGTCATATTGAATTAGGGGCCCACCCTACGTCAGTATGACCTCATTCTAACTTAATTACATCTGCAACAACACTGTTTCCAAATAAGGTCACATTTTGAGATAATGAGGACTTCAACATGAATTTTTGGAGGACACACTTCAACACATCAGGTTAGCAAGCCATACCACATGAAGGACATGGAAAACCTCAGAGAGCAGGGGAAGGGGTTGGATTTGCCTTGGATATAATGGGAAGTCACCAAGAGGTTTCAAATCCGGCAAGTGACATGATCTGATTAATGTTTTAAAAGGATAATTCTGGCTGCTGTGTTAGATTATGAGAGAAAACAGCCCCTGATGCCTGCATGAGTCATATGGCCCCCCTGCTAGGGATGGAAATTCTCGTCATAACATCCACTTACTGGACCTGAGGCTTTAGTTTTCATTGTTCATCATTAGTTCATAGGAAAAACAAATTTAGCTTCCAATTGATGAGATGAACACATCCTTACAATCACATACAAAAATATTATTTTCTTTCCTGCATCTTTACTTCTAAAAAATCAGAAAAGTAATACAAGCTCTTGGTAAAACTCCAAGTAATACTAAGAGAGACAAATTAGTACAGGACTCCAGACACTGCTCCTCATCCCCTACCCATTCCTGCTTCTCAATTTCTTCACATTCACATTTTAAAAGAAATCTCTTTGGAGATCCCCTTCCTAGAATTGTTTCTAATCATCTATATGTCTCTATGCAGATTCTTACCCACAGCAAATTTCTAACACTAGGCCAACTGCCCAACTTCACCAGGCAAGCTTCTGTTACCTTCTTCCCATAAATTGGCCTGAAAATGTTCGGGATGAACAGGAGCACTGAGCCACAAAATTAGTAGTAGATAAGTGGGCTTGGGGTCAAAGACATCGAGTTCCAGTTTCTGTTACATCACTTCCTGCCTCTGAGTTACTGAGCAAATCACAACCAAGCCTTGGTTTCTTCATATTTTGCCTATATCGCAGGATTGTAGTAAAGTTCAAGGATGTGTAATAAAGCACTTCCAGTATATTATTGCTAATGAAGACAACCCTCATTTCTACATACACACAGCCATATTTGTTTACCACTTATAGACAAGGGAGTTTTTATTTTGTAACTAGAACTAGCAAGAGGCATCATGCTTGAGGACAAGGTGAGGGCAGATGGGGTACAAGTGACTTTGTTAGGCTGGGTGATCTCTGGGGCAAGGGTTTTCTGTCTTTGCAGGCTCAGATGTGACCAAATGGGAGTTGGAGCAGGGGAGAATAAAGTGAGTGTGTCCCTCTTGAAAACCATAAATGACAAGACTGGTTTGAGTGTAACTGGCATGCCCTGATTTAGAGACATGTTCAGAGTCTCAGAGGGAAAAATAATCAGGAAACGTTTTGGTGGGAGAGAGATGCCCTCCAACACTCACACAGGGTTGTACTTCAGTGGTGATGATCAGGTCGTGACTTGTAATATAAGAATCAGAATCCCCTGTGGCTGGGTAAGTGTGGTGTGCCCAGAAGGTGGTATATGACCAGGTAAGAGACATATCTCCAGGCAGGAAACAGGAACTAAGCAGTCCTGTTTTGCACCGTCAGCCAGCGTTCAGCAAGCACTGTATTCTCTGAGGTCCTGCTCTGTGCTAGGCACTACACTTGATGCTTGGGATACAATAGTGAACAGGACAATGAGTTCTCTCAGGTGGTGGCAGGTGTTAAGATGGTGCCCATACACAGGAGGCTGATAAGACTTTAGGGTGAGATGAAGCCTGGAATGCTCTTCCAGGGTTTTCCAAATACTAGCTCAAGGTCTGAAGCCAAACTGTCCAGGAATCTCATTTTTAATACCCAGATGATTCTGATGCACAGCTAGGTTTGGGAGCCACCAATATGGGTGAGCTGGGCTGATTTCACGGCACATCACGATGGCTCTGTCTCATTTTTCCCAGACTTTTAGATGAAAAGTTCTACTTTCAGTTCAGCTGGGCTCTGGAAGCACACTTGAGCCAGAATATTAAAAAGGGGATGATCTCCACCACACCCCTAGGCCAATGAGGTAACTAGGAAAACTGCCTCCAAGGCAAGGAGAATCTTGTGGAACACAAAGCCATACTGTGAGATGCAGAAGCCCCTTTTCAAGAGGAGACTGCTTATCCAAGGCCAAACGTAGAGATCCTGAGTTTTGTTTCATCGAGGAGGATAGCTGGTCAGTGGTTCATGCCTGTAATCCCAGCACTTTGGGAGGCTAAGGCGGGAGGATCGCTTGAGCCCAGGACTTTGTAGACCAACCTGGGCAACATAGTGAGACTCTGTCTCAGCACACCAACATGGCACATGTATACATATGTAACAAACCTGCACGTTGTATACATGTACCCTAGAACTTAAGTATAATTTAAAAAAAAAAGAAAGAAAGAAAGAAAGAAAGAAAGGTAGCCAATTCCTCAAGGTAGTAAACCTTGAGTCCAGGTCCTCTGGTATCAAATCCTATGCTTTTTCCATCTTCTCTACCTTCTCTTCTACCTGCAACCTCTGGGGTGAAGATGCTCAAATGGTCGATTTAGAGACACTAGCAGTGGGCAACATATAGGTATGGAAAATCCTCAACCTGGCAGCTTGAGGAGGCCCCAGTGAACCTCTTACCCTGAATGTTACTCTCTGCTCAGAGCTCTATTTTTGTTTTTGAGATATGAATTTTTTACTTGAGGTTATTTGAGCATTTCTCTTATCCCAGATCCCAGTAGCAGTTGAGAGTGCTTATTATGAGGGAGGAAAGAGAGTCCAGGGGAGGGGCCTTGGGAGCTCAAGGGGAGGGCAGAGTCTGAGATGCTAGGAAAGGAGCTTGGAAGGCCTGGAGTTAGAGTCCAAAGGACAGGAGCTGAAGATCCCTGAGGCACAGAACCACTGTACTTCTTGGTTGCCCTGGGAGAGTCCTAGTTTATGCCTGTTGTCCCTCCCACTATCAAAAGTGCCCTAGTCATAAAGCAAATTATATGGCCACCCCTACTGAGGGAGGAATTAGAGCCCTTCTTTCCTCATTGTTTTCACCTGGAACATTGCTTTGAAAAAGAAAATACAACTTTCAGATACCAGGACAGTAAGCTCCTCACAGGCAGGGACTGCCTTGTGATTGATTTCTTTAAAAACAATAAGAAAAGCATAAAGTGTATTATGTACATTAAGAGAACGTCCGATAAAGGAAGAAATACTCATGTGATTGAATTTTGCATTCCCAGCACCTAGCTACATGTATGAACTAACGCTTTCTGCCCTGCCTACCCCTCAGACACAGTTTCCCTCCGGCCAGACCTCAGCCACATCAGTATTTTAATGATTGCACTGACATCTGGTGGCTGTTTCCAGCTTTTTCTCTGGGCTGCGCCTGTAAGAGATGACGTATAGGTCTGTACCTCACATTCCATCAAAGCAACTTTTATCTGAGCTCTATAGTGACTAGACATGACACTCTGATTCATAGCAAGTTGTTGATAGCTGGTAACAGATGTATTGCTATTTCTTAAAAGGTATAGAGATTAGAGGCAGGAATGACGGTAGTGTGGAAGGGGCACAGTAAAATGATAAATAACATCAATAACTGAAATTTCATGGGATTTTAGGCTTATGAGGGAGTCATTTTCACATAGAGGTGTCCTTCCTGAAATTATACCAACTAGGCCAAAGTCATTAAAGTTCTCAGTAGCAACAAGAAATCAAGTCAACACCAGTGCAAGTGTGATCAAATGTCAACTAGGGAAATTCTTAAAGTAAAACTTGGATACATGGTACACTGTCTTCCTAGTACTGTCTGGCTAACAAAGAGCAGGAGGGAGTGGGGGAGTCAGACACAGGAAAAATAGAGTGAGAAAGTAGGAAAGCTGTACTTCAAAGTGTAGCTTTCCGTGTTCCAGCAAGGCATGAAAATGTCTGCAGATACAACAACCTCCCCATAGCTCACCCCACTTTAATCTACAGGGTAACTTCAGAGGATTTCACACAGAAGACATTTTAATCCCAATACACCATAAAGAGGGTACCAAGAATCCTAGTACTCATGGGAGGACCGTTTTGGTCACCCATCCTCTGCCTTGTACAAAGAAGCTGTAGGCAAGAGGCCTGTCAAAGCCCACGACCTTACATCATTAAGAGCTCAAAGAGAGAGAAAAATACAACTCCCAGTCAATTCTCACATCATCAGGAAAGTATCAGCAATGTATGAGACAGGAACATTTAAGTAGCCATAATGAATGAGGTATCTGGGTATCTGGAACATCTCCAAAAACGCAAGCTGCCTCTCATTTGCCTCCTTACGGTAAAGAGTATTACTGAGTCTGTAAATGTGAAAATAAGTATTTAATAAATCTTTTTAAGCTGTGGGCCTGCCAGTAGGGGTTTGCAGTTGTGTTTTATGCTACCCTCCCCTGAGCCTTCCACTTTGCCCCTGTGGTTTTCTGATCAGAAATCAATAGCTACCAAGTTTAGGGTCTTTAAAAACACACCAGACACCAGGGTGGATAAGGCTGTGCTTTATTACATGCATAATTACAAATCTGTGCTAAGTGGAAATGTATAAAGCAATGGCGACCTGGGTTTAAGCCACACAGAGAAAGGGCTGGACAATCCATTAACCCTTCTGCCAATGTCCATTCCATTGCCTTTAACATGATTGTTTCCATTTCTTACAATTTGCATAGCACTTACTTGTCAACGTACTTTGAATTCATTGTCTCAGTTTATCCTCACAACAACCCTGTGAGGTAGGTAGGGCAATTAACACTATCCCCATTTTGCAGATGGGAACACTGAGGCACAGAGCGGTTAAGATCTCGAGGCTAGTTAGTAGAAGCATAGGGAATAGAAATCAGGTCTCCTAACTCCCCAGTCCATATCTTCCGTTTTAGACTATGTTGTTCCACATGACTAGGGAGTAGACTAAAGCGAGCAGTGAGCCATAGCTCTGGTTCAGGCTATGCCTAAGAACAGGCGAGAACAAAGCCAAGAAAGCATGGCTAAGGGATAGCAACACTCAGATAAACAACTGCTCTAGGACAGCTCAGCACCAAACCTCCTGCAGAAACTTGGGCTCTATTAGCTTTGGTTGAAGCTACTTTCTGGATGCCTAGTTACTGCTGATGTCTAGACATTAGCTTCAGCTGAACTTTCACCAACTCTCAGGCATTAAAATGTCGAGTCAGACAGGTTTTCTTTGGCTACTGCAGTTGGAGCCAGCCCTACACAGCGCTTACTACAGAGAAATTCAAATAGTGGCCCATGGGCTGTAACCCAGCCCCTCTGATCTTCCTGGCCTCATTGGCTCACCCAACAGGTGGTAGTTTTCCCATAGCCAGAAATGAATGGGCAGAGGTAAGAGCAGGAGGCTGGCCTTGGTCAAATGAAGAAGAGTCACCCACATGACATCACTGTCCCCCTTAGCTGATGTGACCAAGGTACTGACAGGGCCACCTCCTTTCTGGCCTATACCTGGTTAGCAGCATAGCTTCAAAAGACAGTTTAAGAGAACAAAATATTAAACACATCATTTTAAAATCTTGAATGGAATAAATTCTTAATCATCATATAGTCCTAAAGGACCAAATACATAATAAAAAGTAAATACATACTTATATAAAAAGCTGAGTGCTAAAAAGGCAGGACAATGGGAGAGAAAGGAAGAAGAGGGGACAAAGTGAAATGGAGGGAGGAAAAGGAACAAGCTGGAAGGACCATGTATTTTGAGGTACCCTTAATGTGATACTGAGGCTGAACATTCCCCTCTCAGGCCACACCCTCTTCTCAATTTTGCCAGATGGCATTTCACTCACCAAATCTTAGACTGCCCCTGAATTCCAACAGATTTGAACTAGTAGGTAATACAATTTAGCAGTAAATACTTCATATGTCTGCCTTGAGATGCTAAAGCCCTCATCACCCCCGACAAGTATCAATGGCTTTGGCCCTCACAGAGGAGCAAAGCCCTGTTGGTCCCATCAACTCAGAAGTATCTTCCAGTTTCTGTTCTCAGAACAATCATCCCCCTCCCACAAAGTCCACATTCAAAACAACATGCCTGTAATAAAACAAAGAGAAATTTGAATTCAGGGCATGGTGTGGGGAGAGAAAGAGAACAAGACAAATGGCAAGGTGGATGAGGCAGAGAGAGGAGAGGCAGAGATCTTTTCTTTTTTAACTCTCACATTTTTATATTATTACATACTGTTTTTCTTCAAAAGGCCAAATTTTAGGCAAAGCATTCATTCAATGAGTGTGCACACAGAGGCTGAAGGCCCTTTGGCAGGAACTAAGAGGTAGGAATTTATGACTGCAAGACTGGGCTGGGTGATCTGATAGGTCCCATCCAAGAAATGCAAACTCCACACGTCATATACTTTCTTTCTTGGGTGATTTGGCAAAATTAGACTACACCATGGAAAAACCAATTTTGTTCCCTACATCTATTCAAACCTTTACCCAGATCCAGATGTTTAGAAATGAGAATATGGCCAGCAAACGTTTGGGGAGTAACTTAAAGTTGCTAACAGCCATTGTTCTCAGAACTTCTCTCCTTGGAGCAAGCAACTGAAATATGAAACAGAGCAGAGTCAGCGATCACCTCAGGAGAACTACACCGATTGAACTTCAAATTGACACAGCTCCTGAGCTCTGATCTGAGGAACTCTCACTTTTTTTTTCTATATATAATAAGGACATACGAGGAGGCAAAAATATATATTTTTTAAAAATTGCTATCAAAATTCAAGACAGTCTATCTAAACCTTATAGTTTAGGAAATGGCAACAGATACCACATTTCTTCATGAGCAGATGTCTTAGGTCGGCCCTATCCATAAAACTAGACTGCCCTTGAGCCAAACACTGCTTTGAACCACTCATTTTCATAGAAAGCCTGGCCTTTGGAGGATTACTTGACTTTTTTCCCCCTTGGGGCACACGATCAAGCAGTTTATAAATGCCAGAACATGTTATAGGGGTGTGGGATGGCTTTCCTGCCACCATCTTACACCATTCAAACATTTTCTTACCAGGGCTTTTTCCATGGCCATAACTCTTAGTTTCTTCTCCAAAGGGAACCCAGGCAATCCCAGAGGTGGCTAAAAAAATCAAGGTTTGGCTGGGTGCAGCGGCTCACGCCTGTAATCTCAGCACTTTGAAAGGCCAAGATGGGCAGATCACGAGGTCAAGAGATCGAGACCATCCTGGCCAACATGGTGAAACCCCGTCTCTACTAAAAATACAAAAATTAGCCGGGCATGGTGGTATGCGCCTGTAGTCCCACCTCCTTGGGAGGCTGAGGCAGGGGAATTGCTTGGACCCGGGAGGCAGAGATTGCAGAGAGCTGAGATTGCACCACTGCACTCCAGCCTGGCGACAGAGCAAGACTCTCTCAAAAAAAAAAAAAAAAAAAATCAAAGTTTTAGGACACTTAAGTTCAGACCACATATTTAGACATCTAATTTTTTTTTTTTTTAAAAGGACTCAATATTCTACCTACCACTTACTTTCTAAATTCCTAATTTTTCTCAGGGTTTTTAAGAGCTCAACGTTCTATGAACCACCCAAAAGATGTTCTCCTGCTTCCTCTGAACTGATGGGTGGCTTGCATTTGGCTCTGATCCAGTGTAGGGGACCCAATTCCTCACAAAACAGTGTGGTCAGTCATCAGTAAGTACTTTGGCAATATAAAATATGCTAGCTGTTTCAAGTTCTCACCATTGTCTTCGCTATCATTATTAAAAACTCAACTTCAAAGATTGCACTGTTCATTATTTAAAAAAACAAAACAAAACAAAACAAGAGATAGTGTGGGATAACAAGTACATCTTCCTACTCATCACTTAGCAAAATAAACGAAAATCAAGACCGAACCGCAACAGGTGATTGAACTACTTAAAACATACAGCAGTGGTTAATTTCTATAATGGACTCTAGTGCACACGAAGTTTTTGAAAACATATTTGCCCCCTCACACCTTAATGCATTCATAAGATCTTGGTTGTGAATTACTTCATGGCCTTAGACCTCACTAAGCCCTGGTTACTTCATCATGTTCAAACAGAATTGAAGATTTGCTAAGAAATGTATACTATGCTCTGCTCTTCCTGTAAAGGGTTTAGATTCAGCCTTTGGTGCCAAAACAATTCAACTGCTTTTCAGTTCAATCACAAATTAATCGTTTGCTTCACCAGCTGGCAAATTCAAAGTATCATCAATGTCAGCTTATCTACCAGAGGATATCTGTTCTGTGGATCTTACCACCTCTACTCCACAGCTGGGCTGAGCCAGGATGCTGTGGCCAGAGAAAGAGGAGAGCATTGGAATATGTTTCTAACCAAACATCCAAGTAGAAATGATCTTTAAAGTTGCCATTATTTTGTATTATCAGTCCCCTGTTTTTTCCCTTCAATATAACGAATCACGCATTAACTGTTTCAGGTTCTTGAAATTCTTTAAATTGAAGATTTGAAGATACAAAATATAGTAGTTTCACTTTTACAAATCTATAGACTCTCATTCATTTTATGGCTGGATGGCTACCAGCTACTCTTCCTTGGAAAATCCTAACTCCGTTGAAACACTAATTGGCATTCTTTTGTAAACCCTTCCCTTGTGTCAGGCAATTTTCTCATTTAATACCAAAATAGTCTCATCTCGACTCATTAATTTTTAAATCACAAACCATCTAGTCTTCTGCCATTGAGGTATGTGGCCATTTGATGCTACTGACAGTCCTCTCCGTACTGGCTGTATCTGTTGCTTAAGCATGTCCAACTGTTAAAGTGGCAATGGCAGAAAGAACATTTTCCTTTTCCACAAGACAAGAAACAGAGTGTCAAGGTGCTGAGCTAGCAGTTGAGCGCTCTAGCCGCAATTAGCCAAACTTTGAGCCAAACCATAGGATTGGATGTATAGTGGATACCATATACTATAGCTACTTCTAGCATATAAGCTACAAGGATTCCTGAGAAGCTGAAGTTAATGAATGAGATTGATCAGGAGTGAGGTATCAAAGGGATATTGTCATTCTCTGGAGGGCCCATCAGTGCTTAGCATCTACAAAGTATACCTTGGCACAGTGTTATCTGATTTCTCGAATGTATTTTCTGAAGTAGCACCTTAACACTGGCTCATCTGTCTAAAATCAAGAACAAAGCCCAGAAGAAACACAAAGGCAAACTTAAGACACCCTCCTTATCGCTACTGCACTATGAAATATGACCAAACCTTTCATTGTCATTAAATACCAGAAATAGTAACATTTTCTGTTTTGCAAACTTTAGTGGGGAAGGACAACTAATAAGACAGGTATTGGACCAGAAAGGTACAGATAAGGACTTTGATTTCTACACAATATACAGGGTAGTCAGTCAAATAGTCTCATATGAAGGAATCAGTGGCATGGAAAGGACAAAATACATAGTTACTGAGCCATGACTATGATATAACATATCCCAGAGAGATTTTTTCATTTTCATTAAAGTGCTAGAGTGATCTATTCACAAGGAGAAACTCTAGCGACCGCCTTGATTATTTTAAAGATAAAAATAAAATAACCCTTGGCTACCCAGTTCTGAGCCAAAAAAGGAATTTCAGATTTTGGGAAGATAAGAACTAGGGGTAAAAATGTCCTAGAATCAGGGATCAGTAACTCTTAAAATGAGGTACACTGAAGTGTTTGGGGGGAGAGGGTTGGTGGGAATATGCAGAATGACCACCGATTCTGGGCTGGAAGGATGGTGGGAAGTGCTCGGAACAGAGCTATAAAATGATCCAGGCTGAACTCTTACCCCGGCAGTGAAATCTCACTGCTGTAGGCATCCAGTGTGGAAATGGAGGCATGGCAGCAGCAACAGGGCCACATGGCAAAGAAAATGGCTGTGTGTCACCTCTGGTCCACGTGTTGGGAGACTGCTGAGCCTTGGTTTACAATTTAACTAGGCCTGGGAGTTATTTTTTTGTAGTAGGAATGATTAACCAGGAGCAGTGCTCAGCCCCAAACAGAGGATTTGGTACTAGGATAAGAAGTGGAACAGAATGGAGGGGGAGTAATTGCACATAGGTAAAATTACAGAAAATGAAATAGTGGTTAGAATGATGATGGTGGCTCTGTAATTCCACCAAGTGTCCCCAGAGTGTGATTTTTTTTTAACTGCAATAAAGGTGGTATGAAATTGAGACAGGCACCTTTTCAATTGGATACAAGCACCTTTGGTGTCACCAGGCCTTGTCCATACTCCTGGGTCTTAGGATGGCTCTGCATTTTATTTAGAATTCTAAGGACTCTTGAAGGAGTCACAGCTGCCTATCCTGTTCCAACACCTTGAATATATTTGGAAGTATCCCAAGCCTAATTCATGCTCATGGGGACAATACACTGGCCTGCTACACGTACTTATCGCTGGGAGGTGCAATGAGGTGTCCAGTTATTTTAGTACTGGTGGTCTTTACAAAGGAATGCATGAGGATGCAGATGCAGTTCTGAATCTTCCCTGGTTTACCAGTATGCAGTCTAGACTTGGTTCCCTTTGCTGTTCTTACATATTCCAGAAGCCTAAAGCACCATCATTCATGGAGGTGGCATCTGGGTAAGAGAATTAGTTAGGACCTCACAAAAATGTGAAACTCCTACTCATTGACTTTGCTTAGAAGTTTACTAATTATTCATTTCAAGGAAGCTGGAAGAAATCATTCCTTGCTACTAACAAATTCATGGCAAAGTCCTTGTGTACCAGCTAACAAATGCCACCTGGAAAATTACCCTTTTTGCAGACAAGGAGAAAGCTCTATAACTTATCTTTGTGCACTTCAAAAGAGTACCAGGAACAAGCAAGCTATAAAAGTCAATCTCTCTAAATTCATTTAGAAGAGATTAACCAAAGCAGCATTGTCTTATAATCAAAATTAAAATTAACATAAACATACATACATAACAAACTAATAATGCTAAATATTGTAACAGGAACAAGGATAACATTTGAACTGAATCTTCACAGTCTAGAAAATACCATTACTCTTTTCCTTCTGGCTTTCCTTTCTCTGGTTTGAAAAAGCAAAGCCCCTTAGTTTACACTTTGTCTTCCAGTAACAACAGTTAGATCCCAAAAGAGTGACTTTTTCATCGGTTTCCTACAGGTTATAGGTCAGGACGGCTGGAATTTTTCTTGCATAGTTTTCAGTGATTGCATATTGGCTAACTACTTTTTAAGTTAAAAAATTCTTTAAAAAAAAACAAATATAATTAAACCACAGCAATCTTATTTATTCTTTCATGAGATCTTCCTAATGTAACATCACGGAAGCCTAACTGTAATTTCTCCTAAAGAGAAAATTAATTTCCAGAGATTATGTAGTGCAACTGGTTAACTTGTAGGAAAGAGACAAGACACTAATGTGACTTCACCATCCAAATATGGAAAATATGTTTTGGGTACCCAGTTAATAAAACATATCCATGGTCTGTAATGTCCTTCCTGCTTTATATCCAGAACTCTATGATTCTAGTTGAAGAGAATGGAATCAGGATCTTGGTTCGCCATCTGTGCTATATGCTTTAACACATCCTTTTTGGTAATGATTCCAAGCAATCGCCTAAAAGACAAACACAACACAACAAAACAAAAATAAATCTGTACTTAAAATAGCATTCCCAAAGGTGATACTTGTCCTCCTTTTCAGCTTTGTCTTTGATCACTAGCTGCCCTTCCAGTATGGGATCACAGGAGTAGGACATGTGCTCCAGGCAAATAGGATGATGTGTGGGTTCCTCAACGTATGCAAGTGTTTCTACCTCTAGGTCTCAGACCCTGCGATTTCCTCTGGTTTAAATACTCTTCACTACATATCTGAATCTTATCTACTGCAGCCCAATTCAAACGCCCCTATTCCAGAGCACCTTCCCTGATTCTGTGAGCCAGCAGGAACTCTGCCCTCCTCACAGCAACAGCATACACATTCTTTGCAGGCCTCCTCAGTGGCACTTGTCTTCTTTGCTATTGTACTATAACCACTGCTAGGTTCTTGCCTTCCCTAAAACACTGCATGCTCCTTGAGGGCACAGAAGAGTCTTATTCATTTTTGTGTCTCCCTGGAATCTAGTGGAATACCTTCTTACATGGAGCAGGGATTCAGTAGATGTTAAATGAACCAGTTAGGGAAGTCCCCTTATTGATTTAAATCCTGCAAGGCATCTGTCACTTCATTTAGAAATTTCAGAGGTGAAATTCTTATATAATTGCTGGATTAACATAACATGTTTGAGAAAAAAATCCACCCCTCTCCTCAACCTCCCTTCTTTTCCAATAAAAATAGAAGGGTTCCCTTTACTGGATAAGAACTATCCCAGGAAGGAAAGAGCCTTGGGTTTGGCAGTCAGGGACTTGTGTTTAAAGCCTTTTTCTACTATTTGTTAGCTAGGGAACCTTGTATAAATCTCACCTCACTGAAACTTGGTTTTCTCATCCTCACGTAATAATAACAAGGAGATTGCAGGGAACAAATACCCAGCAAATATACTACTACCTGATGCTATTGTAATTTTAGTGCTGCCTATGCACAAAACACAGCTGTTTCCTTTGTCAGGGAGGAACTGAGTTATTTATAAGATGCAACCAGCAGTTCATATCTCTCAAACACATGTTCTTTCCCAAACTCCTTTTACACTAATTATGATTTTGAAAACCTATCCACTTTCATCTCAGAGCTTCAAAAAGTCCTAAAAGTGCTACTAATGTTCATTTAAACTGGATTCTACTTCTTTCTCTCTCTGCATTCTCTTTTCTCCCACAATCCAATTTGCCTTCACTCAAGACTTCTTACCCGTTGTGTGTAACCAGGCACTGCCGCAGTCCCAGCTTTCGGAAAATATCCACTACGATCTCCATGGGTGTAAGGTCAGTCACAGTGAAGGGGCTGAGATCCAGGATGTTCCGAAGCTTTAGAGTGGGTGGAGTGTATGGTGGCAATGGAGGAGAATGCTCCGTAAAATAAATGATGGAAGTGCTAACAACCCCGTCCTGTTTCTTTCGAGCATTTTCTATTCAAACAGAAAGAAAAAGTAAATTGAAGATGGACGTGCTAGTTCTATCCTTCTGGCTCCTAACCAGTCCCCTCTTCCCTGTCTTCCCCCATTTCATGCATACTTATTGAGTTCCACAGTGGATTCCACTATCCCCTTTCTGAAATCCTTACCAATTGAAATAATGAGATCTCTTCGGAGGACAAAGCCCACAAGTCTTTGGGACTCCCGGGATACCACCACTGGGAAGCCACTGTAAGTGGTTTCACTGATTATGGTCTCTACATCCTCCACAGTCATACTGTCCTGAGTAAGGACAGTCAACAAAGGATCATTTCTCCGGGGTTTCATCACATCCATTGCCAGGGTCTTATGAGCAAACTCTTCTTTGGCTTCAAGAAAGGGGTATCCATTGAGACGGATGTGGGCATCATAGATGCCCTCCCGCCCAAGAGCATCTGCCACCCACTTGCTTGTCATGGCTGCAGCCATCAGAGGCACGATGTATTCTAAGCCACCAGTCAGTTCAAACATTATGACAACAAGAGACACAGTCATTCGAGTCACCCCACCTGCAAAGAAATAGACACAGTCTACTCAGGCAGGCAACATACAGGATTCTTACAATTATGGGCCTTTCCAGGAAAAGCTGACCTACCAGAAACAATGAGGTCTCACCTACAACTGTGCAGACTCCAGAGATCGCAAGAAAGCAAGGTTAAAATGGACACGATTCAGAGTTCTCAAAATAACATCTAGAAGAAGCCTTCTGTTTTTCCTTTTTCTTTTTTCTTTTTTCCTCTTTCTTTTTTCGAGACAGGTTTTGTGCTCTGTCACCCAGGCTAGAGTGCACCGGCGTTATCACTATTAATTGCAACCTCCATCTCCCAGGCTTAAGTGATCCTCCCACCTCAACCTCCTGAGTAGCTGAGACTACAGGCACATGCCACCACACCTAATTAACTTTTTATTTTTTGTAGAGTTGGGGTTTCACTATGTTGCCCAGGCTGGTCTCAATCTCCTAACCTCAAGCGATCCTCCCACCTCTGCTTCCTAAGTAGCTAGGATTACATGTGTGAGCTACTATGTCCAGTCCAAGATGCCTTCTTGTTTCTTTGTTCTTTCATTTTTCTGTTGCTTCTTTTCCCTAATTAGAAAATACATGCCCACTGTGGAAAATCCAGAAAATATAAAAGAAAGTCACTATCTTATTAGCTCACTGCTGATAAATAAGCAGAGTAAAAACTTTGAATGACTTTTTCACGTTTTTTTCTATGCAAAAACATACGTTTTTAAATAAGTGAGCTCACATTATATGTTTAATTTTCTGCCATGTTTCCCCCTCTACTTTATGTTGGGAACATTTTGCATATTATTACAAATTTATATATCATCATATTTTAAGATGTTAAACATATTTACATTATATTTTAAGATGTTAAACATATTAACATCATATTTAAAGGCTGCATTGTATAACATCATATGGATGTACCATAATTCATTTAACCAGTCCTTCATGTGCAAATTTAGGTTGATTGTAATTTTTTGCTCTTATACTATGATACATATTCTTGTGCAGATATCTTTGTCCAAATTTCTGATTATTTCCCCAGTATGAGAGAGTAGAATTCCCTTTTTTTATTATGATTATGATTTTTATTTTTTATTTTTTTTAGTTTCCTCATCTGTATATCAGACGCTTTCTTAATGTGCTTGGAAAATGGCAAACTTAACTGGAAAGTGATGGGCATTTAAATTTTCCTACAGTCAATTGTGTTTAATAAACTCTTCTGTTGTATGTCACCTGGGTAGCAACTTCTTTGCAATTAATGCAAACACTACTCACCTAAGCAGGCTGCAGCCCCAACCATTGCATAAAGGCCGGGGGTGATGCAATCAGCTCCCTGACTACACCAGCTATTGAAGATGGTCCATTCCTGGTGGTAATAGGCCAGTTGTTCCATTCCTACTCCTAGAAGTCGACCTGCTATAGCACCAACAGCCATGCTAGGGATAAAGAGGCCAGAAGGGATCTGCGAAGAGAAAGCAATAGATGGTTAGTGAGAAATGATGATTGCTTGGCACATGGCAAGGGCTGGAGGACTGACCCTCTGCAAAGCAAACAGGCCATTGACAATTTAACTATGCACTATGCTAGCAAGTGGCTGTAAAGATTTGTGTAACACTACAGGGACTAGAGGTTCTCTGGGACGTGCAGGCAAGGACGACTGCAAAGAAGCTTACCCTGATTCGGGGTCCATCAGGCAAGAGCCTGAAGTCTCCAGACCAACACAGAACTGGAGGCAGAAATTAGGCCTTTCCCAAAGAAAAAGGAAAATAGATGGAGTTTCTCATATATGCAGACATTTCCACCAATTTTGAATTCTTATCAACAATGACTACCGTTTATTGAGTACCTACCATGTTCTATGCTGGATGCTCTACATGCAAGATTCATGGGTTCTTTATAACCCCAGGAGGCAGGTATTATTATTCCCAAATGCCAAAGAATCTAAGGTTCAGAGAGGTTAAGTAGCCCACCCAAGGTCAAGATTTAGTGAAGACTGCTGCTGGGATTTAAATGGAATGCTCATAACCATGCTCATATATTGAATCTTAGCCCATTGCTCACACAAAAAGGATATAGCACATGAAGTTTCAGTCTATTTTGTAACAATATCAAGAAAGATTAAACAATCAAAAAGTTTTAATGAGATCATGACTATGGCTACATGATTAACCAAAAAAGGAAAGCTCATCTATCTCCCTACTGTTTTTCCTGACTCCTAGGATACTATAGTAAATTCTTAATATTCTGTACTGAGAGAGGGAAATGATGATAAGGACAACCAAAACAGCAGATTCTTTTTAAACAGCCTGTGTTTGATTTTTAAATGCATTTGAATCTGGTGTTCTGATGGCTTACAAATTCCCTTTAAGTGAAAGAATGCAGGCATGAGGTGAAAATTAACTGAAGAAGCACTGCAAAACTTCCCAGGGTCTCCATCCCTTCCCCGTATTGAGGGGATGGATGGCGTCATCTTAGAGATTACAGTAATGCCTAAACTGAGTTGCTATCTCTTCTGGCTTGAATCTCCATTTCTCTAGAGAATAGAGGAAAGTAACTTGGTAGTTAGGGTGCTAAAGAAAAGAAACAAACAAACAAAAACCTAGAAAGGAGGAGGAAAATACTTCAACAAATTTTCTTTTCTGGCTTCTTCTGAAACATGGAAATAGTAACAGGTACTGAAAGTAAAACATGCCAGCCTGATGTCCACTTTTGATAGCTTAAATATTAACTAAGGATAACTTGTGAAGTGGATCCCACTTCTTGACAATTGAACATTGATACCAACTGTAAAAACTATATTTAGCTATATATTGGGTTGAACCACAGGAAATTGCCATTTTAGCAGTCAAAATGGTCGAATCCCAGCAACTTCTCTGGTTCAAGCCACCCTATAAGGAGTAACACTGTGCTGGCCAGATATCATTTTAATATAAAACGTACTGGAATAAATACCTCACCATCGTTTTTGAGTGGCAAAATATGTTTTCCACAGAAAAGGAGAAAACATTCTTCCTAAAATTTCATCACTGAGGCTGGCATTTGGATAGCTCAAGGCTTAGACAATTTGAGATAGAGGTACAACTGTATAGCAAATTATGAGAACATGTGGGGTAAAAGAGGCTTTAGGGGTGGGGGAATAATGTGAGGGGGATTTGAAAGCACCATATGAGCTATCAGGATTGTATGATACCTGAGCTCTGCCCTCCAAAACCCACAGCCACGCGTGCAGCCACTGCGTCCCAAAAGAATTCCTCACCTTCATGCCAAAGGTGAATATAGTAATGACAATTTTCAGTATGAGTGTTAAAGCCAGCTGCCACATTGCACTGTAGACTCCCACGCCAGCCGGTCTGTCAGGCAGTTCACCCGCCTTGCTTGTGTTGAAACGGTTCTCATAATCACAGAGCTTGGAGGAGTCCAGAAGGCCACAGTCATTAAACAGCTCAGAAATGAGCTCACTTGTGCTCATCCGAGTGTATTCATTGGGGAAAGCCAGGATGGCAGTGATGGCTGTCACGACGAGTACTTCTATGACAGGATACTTGCCCAACTGGGTGGTCTTTCGTTTCCGACACCAGGCAATGTTTGTGCGGATAAACAGCGCTCCCCACAGACCACCAAATATGCCCAGCAGAATGAATGGTACGAGCTCAAAGAGATGCCATGGGGTGTGAAACTCCACATAAAATAGTACCAGGCGGCTATTCCCAAATGGATTGATGGAGCGTAGAGTGAATGCTGCCACCAAGGCAGCAAAGAATGAACGCCACAATGTTTTGAGGGGAAAATAGTAGCTGACCTAGAAGAAAGAAGGTGAGAAAGCAAACTCAAGTCAATACGTAGAAACTGTTTCAGGTGAAAAGCTGTGCTGCAGACATTAGAGTCAACTCATGGATGAAAACTGCCCATTGGATTTCTAGTCACATGGTAAAGCACCAAGCTGGGGAGAGTACTCAGGGACTGGGATATACACAGATATTGTACATTATGTACAAAATTATTGCGCTGCAGTGTACAAAGTTCCTGACACAAAAACATGCACATGCCGTACAATGAAAAGTTGTTACCTCTTCAAGGCTGAATAATACTCCACCTATAGGTGCTCCAAAGGCTACAGATACACCAGCTGCTGCTGCAGCCGACAAGACCTACAATCCAAAACTCAAAATTAGTGATAGAATAATGCTGCTTTCCTCCACTCAATCACATTTTTAGAAGAAATGTTAGTAGTTACTGAACTTTTAAAATACCTTCATATGCTCCATATCATCAAAAACAAAATTCAAACACTGTATGCTGAATTTTGAATACACATGCATAGTTTACATGCTTGACCAGGTAAGAGGACCTTTCCTTTGTAATTCATTTAGCCATGTGCTTTATGCTAAACTATGCCCCCCATCTCCCATACTCCCAATTCAGTAACTGCATTTGAGTTTCTAGACCTATTTGTTCACCATCTAAATGATGTACTTACAGTGATGTATTTATATAGCACTTTGTAAAGGAATGCTTTTTAAATGAGATGTTCAAGAAGGCGCTAATGACATAAAACTGAAGTCACAATTGGTTCACAGTTATTCAGCAGCTGCAAGAATTCATGCAATAGGTATTTAGAGTCTCCCATACCCTGTGTCCTACTCCATGCCTAATAACCTGTGGACACAGAAATAGGGAGGTGACTAGGTTTTTAAGAGAAGACTTAAGATATGGCAAGGAAAGGGACTAGGAGAGAGTGGGAGAGGAAGAAGGAGCCAAAGGGAAAAAGCGATAAAGAGAGAAAGAGAATAGTGATACTTAGAGACCTCCACCTCTGTGTAGGTGTGTGTGTACATGTAAAATGTACATGACAAACACTAGTAATGGCAGACAAACCAAAATTAACAGATGGACCAAGTCCTTTCATTGGATTCTGGTTGCTATGGAGAAAGATGATTTGAAGAAGAAATATTTTAAAGAAAGTTGAACAAAATTATGAGTTTTGAAGAATAAAAAGGTCCTTGGCAAAATAAGCATACTGGATTATCTGGGAGAGTAGGATGGCTCAGGAAAATGATGGGGAGGAAAGAGTGAAGTCTCTGGTGCTAGCTGTAAGGGCTTTGAAATTCCTAGCTACAATGGCTTTCATTTAAGATGAGGACAGCCAACATGCAACTCGAGAAGGGGGAGTTCAGTGACTACATTTAGGATGAATTAAGAGAAAGAAAAAATAGGGGTGGCTAGTTTGCTTTAATTTTATATTGCAGAGTAGAGTCTGTCTACACCCTTCTTTCTCAAGTCTGTTTTACTCTCAACCATCTGCCCACTTTGACAAGGCCATAAGACAAAAAAGGTTGCCATTGATGATGAAAGCAACAGGAAAAAATAACTGGAAAGTCTAAATAAGTACTAGAAAGTAAATTTAAGATTCAAATACTAGCCGGTTGTGGTGGCTCATGCCTGTAATCCCAGCACTTTAGGAGGCTGAGGCAGGAGGATCACTTGAGCCCAGGAATTCAACACTAGCCTGGGCAACGTGGCAAAACCCAGTCTCTACAAAAAAATTCTAAAACTTAGCTGGGTATAATGGTATGTGCCTATAGTCTTAGCTACTCGAGAGGCTGAGATGGGAGAATTGCTCAAGTCCAGGTGATGGAGGTTGCAGTGAACTGAGATCACACTACTGCATTCCAGCCTGGCCAACAGACTGAGACCTTGTCTCAAAAAAAAAAAAAAAAAAAAAAAAGATTCAAATACTGTCATGCACCACATAACAATGTTTCAGTCAATGATGGACCACATACAACACGGTGGCCCCATAAAATTATATTTTTACTGCACTTTTTCTATGTTTAGATGCACAAATATTTACCATTGTGTTACAATTGCTCACAGTATTCAGTATAGTCGCATACTGTACATGTTTGTAGCCTAAGAGCCATAGGCTATAAAAGCCTAGGTGTGTAGTAGGCTAGACCATCTAAGTTTCTGTAAGTCCAATTTATAATGCTTGCATAGTGAGGAAATCTCCTAACAATGCATTTCTCATAACGTATCCCTGTCATTGAGACATGACTATATTCATATGAGCCTAGCTGGAGAAATATATGGCATCTGTATAGAGAAACAGCCAAATCAAATTCCCCTCTTATTTTATTAGAAACTATTTGAACAAAAATGTCAATTTTTAGAATGAAAGTCCCCAGCAATCTGTAGTTTCAAACTCACCTTCATCCATGCAAAACCAGCAACAATCACCACTTCACTGTTAACTATTATAATATTTTCTTTAAAAATTTCAAACACAGAAAAGGTGATAGAACAGCACAAAGAATTCCTACATATCTTCATGTAGATTCTGTAATTGCTACTATTACTGCATTTGTTTTATGATTCTCTATTTTTTTCTGAAGAATTGGAATTTCACTCAGAAAAGTCAGTTGCACATATAAGGCTCATGTACCTTGAAATGTTTCAGTGCATTTAGGACATAAATGCTTTTTTGTCCTAAAAGCAAAGACAGTCTCTTCCATAATCACAGTTCAATGATCAAAATAGGAAATTTACACTAATAACTGTTATATGATCTATAAACCTCATTCAAATTTCATAACTGTTCTAATAAAGCCTTTCTAAAAAAAAAAAATGTTTTTTCAACTCTTCCCTTCTGTTGAACATCATTCCCATTTAACAACCTCACCAATTTAACACTGCCTTTAAGTCCCTCTACTGCATGACAGTTAGTTAAACAATCTATTTATATTTCCCCATCTTCTCTTCTGCTAGCTTTCCTCGCTTTTCTAATTGTGCCAGGACCTTTCTCCCTTGAACTGAACCATCAAAATTTATTCTGTATTTGAAATCTCAGTATCTTTGAGTTTCCTTCTGGGTCTTGTGGTTAATTTTTTTTTTTTTTTTTTTTTTTTTGGTTTACGTAAGAAATCATTAGGTTCCTGTTTTGTGTAAAATCCTTTTAAATGAAATGACCTTGATCTTGACCCATTCCATATATGACTTCTTTGTAATTCAAAGAAAATAAAGCAAGAGCCATTATTTTCTTAGGCCCTTAATTATAGCAAGAAAAAAGTAAACCAATGACTTGGAACATTTTTTAAAAAAAAGTCCTTCCTCCTCAAAACAGCATACATTAACAACTGCATAAACATGACAACCACTACAGAGTTGCCGTGGTGGGACTAATTTAGCTGGGCTGAAACAAAAGGTAGAGAGAGGTCCAATACAGAGAGAAACTAATTCAAGTATAATGTTAGATAGAAATAGAAAGTGAAAAAACCGACATCTGAAACATACACTGCACTTATATGTACTATTCCATAGCAATAAACAACTTCTTTTAAAATCTATTCTTTCTGTTACTTATTTTGTAAGAGAAGCAATATATACTTGAATACAATTATATACAATAAAAAGTTAAAATTCTTACTTCTCCTTCACTACCCCTCACTCTCCCACTCACCATAGATAAACATTTTTAACAGTTTGGCATAGGCCAGGCATGGTGTCTCATGTCTGTAATCCCAGCACTTTGGGAGACTGAGGCAGGAGGATTGCTTGAGCGCAGGAGTTCGAGACCAGCCTGGGCAACATAGTGAAACCCCGTCTCTACAAAAAATACAAAAATTAGCTGGGTATGGTGGTGTGTGCCTGTAGTTTCAGCTACTTGGGAGGCTGAGGTGGGAGGATCATCTGAGCCCAGGGAGGTCGAGGCTGCAGTGAGCCATGATCATGCCACTGCACTGCAGTCTGGGTGACAGAGTGAGACCCTGTCTCAAAAAAAAAAAAAAAAAAAGTAAAACCAGTTTGGGGTAAAGCCACTTTCCAGACATTTTCTATCAATAAGTGCATGTACACTTTAAAAAAATATGAATTATATTATATACATTATTCAGAAACTGGCTTTTAAAATCTAATGGTGTTTCATAGCCAGAATTCCAAGTCAATATATAGAAGGTTGTCTCATTTAATGGTTGCAAAGTATTCTACAGTATGAACAGAATAGTATTTATTAGATCAGTTCCCTGTTGACGGACATTTTTGTTGCTTCAGTTTTTTACTATGTTGACGGATGCTGCACTATCCTTATACACCTTTGTGCACACACATGCTAGGATGTCTGTAGGATAAATTCCTACAAGTGGAATTGCTGGGTCAAAGGGTGTTTGCATTAACATTGGTAGAACCCTCAAATTCTCACCCCCTAAGACTGTATCATTTATGGTCACAACCAAAAAGAGACTATTAAGGCCATTCATTATTACCTCTCTGCGCTTGGCTTCATTCTTCCTGTATTTGTTGAAGCAGTGGCACAGGATGTTCCCACAGCAGCAAGCCACGTGCACTAGAGGGCCCTCTTTGCCCAGGCTCAAGCCAGACGACACTGCCAGCACCAAGGTGATGGTTTTGATAACCAGAGTCCACTTACCCAAATAGCCCCTAATAATGAAACCACTCAAGATAGTTTTTATCTGCAGGTCAAAGAAAGAAAGATTGAATATAGACTAAGGAAGTCAACAAGGTTAAGAACCAAAAATCTGGACTTCATTATAGAAACTGCACCTTTGGAATAAGTGACATATAAATGCTTGACCTACAGTGATCCCTGTTTGGAAGGGAGCCCAGGAGCCAAAGAAAGCAAGAACTCTTCTTTAAGCTTTCATGTTCTCCCTCTTTTTAGAGGGAGGGGAGTGATAGCTGGACAAGGATGTATTGTAAGTATGAGAGTGTGCATATATGAAGGAGGAGCTGGTGAGGGAGGGATAGGTGTTTGCCTCATGTTACAACGTGGTAGCCCAAGAGGCATGTTTTGAGAAGATAAGGCTAATGTCCCTGAAACAACCTTAAAGGTTAGGTATAGTCTTGATTCCCTGGCTTTAAAAAAAAAAAAAAAAAAGTGACTTATTACCTGGTCAGGAAACGGGGAAGGGCAAAGTCATCCTGGTAATCTAAGGCTCAGTGTCTTCAGTCACTGTCAAGCAATCTAAGCCAAAAGTAGTTAGAAACAGGGTTTTAACCACCCCATGTAGCCTAAATCATACTGTGGGAAAGGTACCAAATGATTTTCTTTCTTTTGCTCTGAAAAAGCTGACAATAACACTGTTTTTTCAGAATCTTGGGATATACTCTGGAAGCTTTTTGGATAGTGAACAGGGGAGGTTTTCCAGCGCCTGGCTCAACAGGAACCCTCAGGAGGCTAAGAATCAACTCCCTTTAATTTCCAGGTAGCCCAGGCTGAGAGGGACTTGTGGAAAGACCTAGGCCTTAAATGGCCTCAGGATCCGATCCTGTTTAACATTCAACAAATTGTGGTATGTGCTGGAATACATAGTAAGAGATTTTAACCAAAAAGTATTCATATTGCAACCATTTATAAACCATTTTAACAGACTCACCTCAGGGATTCCAGAGCCACAGGCATAAGGCGCAAACACCTTGACAAGAGATACGGCAAGGAAGGCAAATAGGAGAGCCCAGAGGACATACATGAAATAATTGACTATGTAGGCAAAGGCTCCCTGGAACAGGGGGAAAAAGAAGCTTGTTTTAGCCTAGACGGCTTCAGTGAGACATGCAGCTCTTCTGAGTAATGTTTTTTTCAGGAAAAAAAGTCCAAAAAAAAAAAAAAAAACACAACACCACCAAGATTAAACTGTTCAAGACGTTTCTTTCTGAATTGTCAACTACTGAAACACTGTCAGGCCACTTAGTACTGAAAATGAGATGCTTTGCTATACCCAAAGGAAATTTACCATGGATTCTAAGGATGAACAAGGAAAAGAGCAAACTGAAAACCTTGAAACAAAATTCTCTTTCTATATGAGTGCTTTGATGGGTTTTGTAGTCAAATATATATGATTCCATGTCATTTTACCAAGAGTCTTAAAAGCACCCCCTCCCCCTTTTTTGGAATGGCTGAACCTTGGCTTCACATTTCAAGTGAAGAGCAGATCTAAAGTTCCACTAAATTCACCTTTGGCTACGTACCTTGGTGTCAAATTCTCATAGTTTATAGTAACAAAATTTTGAGTGTTTGGTTTTTCTTTACTTTTTTAAATTTTTTATTGTATGTATTTAAGGTATACAACATGATGTTTTATATACATACATAGTGAAATTGTTACTACATTGAAATAAACTTACATGCATATCACCTTCCATAGTTACCTTTCTTTGTATGTGCAGTAAAAGCATCTAAAATCTACTCTTCGCAAATTTTTAGTATACAGCATTATTAACTCTACTGTACATTAGCTCTCTAGACTTATTCACCCTACCTTACTGCAAATTTGTACCCTTTGGCTCACTTCTCCCCATTTCCTCCTCCTCCATACCCCACGTAACCACCATTCTGCTCTCTGGTTCTGTTTACTCAACTTTCTTTTTTAGGGTCCACATATAACTACATCTTCAAGAAAATTTTAGTACCACAGACTCAGCAACAATCATATAAGTAGAAAGTTTTGGACCCTGGCAATACCAGATACAAATAAATAAAATGGAAACAACTATTTTTAAAATGGAAAGAATATACTTTTTGAGACTATTCCCCTGTGATAAACGAAGCATGCCACAAAAGAAATCTAGCTCTGACCAGCAGGAAAGATTCATCCATATTAAAGGGCCTGCAAATAGTCATGTCTTACAAAAAAAGCAATTTTGATTAGGAAGTTATGCTTACTGGTAGAAATATTAGGAATTGCAACTCACTCAACTTACATAAAATACAAAACTCAATGGACTTTTGGCTTTTCAAAACACAAAACACTATTAAAGTAACTCACTGACCTAGACAAAGAGAACCAGAATGCTCAGGATTTTTCTGAGTTGTAAATTTGACACAGGTTTTCCATTATCTTAGGCCCTCAGAGGAACACATGATTGCTATTTCTTTGCCTTTCCAATGTCGCTAAGGAGGAAGAAGACTGCAGAGGTAGGAAACATAGAGGGTAAAGGAGTGAAAGGAAAAGTAACTCAAACTGGCCAGAGGCAGAGACCAGGAGACCAATTTCCTGCCATTTGGAGAAGGCTTCTTAAAACCTCGAGGAGGCCAAGGCAGGTTGATCACGAGGTCAGGAGATCAAGACCATCCTGGCTAACACGGTGAAACCCCGTCTCTACTAAAAATACAACAAAATTAGCCAGACGTGGTGGCGGGCACCTGTAGTCCCAGCTACTCGGGAGGCTGAGGCAGGAGAATGGCGTGAATCCGGGAGACGGAGCTTGCAGTGAGCCAAGATTGCGCCACTGCACTCTAGCCTGGGCGACAGAGCGAGACTCCGTCTCAAAAAACAAAACAAAATAAAAACAAAACCTAGAGGACTCTTTCCCCAGGGAAGGATTTCATTCATAAAAAGAAGAGCTGGAGAAATTTGTCACCAGAGCAAATCTCAAGCTCCAATTTTAAAGTAACTGTTGGAACACTTACACACATATAAAGGGGCAGCATGAGGGAGCCCTGCAGTGATAGAACAGTTCTAAATCTTGATTGTGGTGGTGGTTAAACAAATGTCCACATGGGATAAAATTGCAATGAACTATATATGTGCGTGCATACACACACACAAAAATACATACATAAATCAATGTGTGTAAAACTGGTGAAATAAAGCCTGTGGATTGTACCTATGTCAATTTCCTGGTTTTGCTGTGGTACTACAGTTATGCAAGCTGTTGCCACTGAGGGAGGGAAGGCTCGGGGGAAGGGTACTGAGGACCTCCTTGTACACTGTTTTGCAACTTCCTATGAATCTGTAATTACTTTTGTGTGTGTGTGTGTGTGTGTGTGTATGTGTGTGTGTGTGACAGGATCTCATTCCATTGCCCATGCTGGAGTGCAGTGGCACTATCATTGCTCATTACAGCCTGGATCTCCTGAGTTCAGGGAATCCTCCCACCTCACCTTCCGAGTAGCTGGGACTATAGGTGGTTGCTACCATGCCCAGTTTTTTTATTTTTAGACACAGGGGTCTCGCTATATTGCCCAGGCTGGCCTCAAACTCCTGGCCCCAAGGGATCCTCCCTCCTCAGCCTCCCAAAGTGCTGGGATTCCAGGCATGAGGCACACCTCACTCAGTCCTTGGAGGAGAGGATTTTTTTTTTTTTTTTTTTTTGAGTTGGATGCTCACTCTGTCACCCAGGCTGGAGTGCAGTGGCGCGATCACAGCTCACTGCAACCTCTGCCTCCCAGGTTCAAGTGATTCTCCTTCCTCAGCCTTCCAAGTAGCTGGGATTACAGGTGCTCACCACCACACCTGGCATCCATATATATATATATATATATTATATATATATATATATACACACACACACACACACAATTTTTTTTTTTTTTTTTTTTTTTTTTTTTTGTAGAGACAGGTTTCACCATGTTGGCTAGGCTGGTCTCAAACTCTTGACCTCAGGTGATCCACCCACCTCGGCCTCCCAAAGTGCTGGGATTATAGACCACCATGCCTGGCCAATTATGTTTAAAATAAAAGAATTCCCCCAAAAGCAAGGGAAATACTCTCTCTCTCTCTCTCTCTCTCACCCTAAGTCGCAGGACTTCTCAAACTTTTCTACCTAAGTTCTCCTAATCTAGGAGAGAGTAAACAAAGGCATCAGAGTATGGGACAGGGTACCCGGGAGCACAGCTGAAAGATTTTTTTTTTTTTTCTTAACAAGTATGACATTTTGCATTCCATTTTAAATGATTATTTACACATAATTTTTGAAAAAAATGCCAAATATTCAGGAAAAAGTAATGCTCTAGGAAGGCAAATAACGTTTGTCCTATGGTTTCACCTACCCTCTGGCATGCTGACCTTACCCTAGTTTGAGAAGCATAGACCTAAACCCTCTCAAACATACAGCATGTATCTATCCCTTTTATTGAACCCTTTACCTAAGCCAATATGCATAGTCATATATGTATATAAACACTCCTATTTCTATCTTTATTCTTTTCCTATCCTCCTTTTCCCTGGACTGTTTGTATTTCTGTATGTGTGTGCACATGCCACCTCAAATTGTTTGTAGACCAAGGTGGGTAATATAAATGTTTAAAAGTACAAATATACATCCTAGTCTTGTTTCCCTCACTAACAAAATAGATGAGTAGTGAACTAAGATGGTACCTGTCTTTGTTGGCGAAGTCAGGGTGGAATTGGGAGCTGAGAGTTTTTTTGCTTTGTGTGCTTTTGTTTTCAGTGGGAGAGATCAAATATATAACTGAGTGGTATAAGAAAGGTAAGGAACTGAAAAATAAGCAAAGTTACCTTAGCATCAAAAAACGTATGCTAGGCGAAGCACAGTGGCTCATGCCTGTAATCTCAGCATTCTGGAAGGCCAAGGCAGGAGGGTCACTTGAGCCAAAGAGTTAGAGACCAGCCTAGGCAACACAGTAAGACTCCATTTTTACAAAATAAATAAATAAATAAGTAAGTAAATAATCTAGGTGTGTTGGTGCACGCCTTTAGTCCCAGCTACTCCTGAGGAGGATTGGTGGGAGCATTGCTTGAGGCTAGGAGGTCGAGGCTATAGCGGTGAGCTATGGTCGTGTCACTGTACTCCAGCCTGGGTGACAGGGAAAGACCCTGTCTCAAGAAAAAAAAAAAAAGTGCTAGAAGACAAGGACAAATTAAAATATTGATTTGATCACAAAATGGGATGATAGGCAATTTTATTCCTGGGTTTCTGTTATTTTGACATGGAATGCATTGTACTTTTTTCAATGCTCTAATGTAATGCTCAGGGAAAATCACTTTTTGTATCTATATGCATAAACACATTTTTAACCCACTCCATCCTTCATTAGAAATTATAGCTCACCTGTTGGCTGCCTCTGACACTTCTTTTGAAATAATTAGAAAAAAAGAGAAATTCAGTCACACTATGTACTAGTACCAAAGAAGAAACACCAGGCTTATTAAAGCTAACAAAAAACCATTTTAAACATAAGCGTCAAATGACTCCACACATCAGCAGAGATGGAAATAGAGCTGCACTTAAACCACAGAGAAAGGCAGCTGGTACTGGTTCCCCTTTCTGTGGAAAGGAAAATAAAGGAAGATTCCGCAATTGCTGTGAGCACAGTATAAGAAACAAAATAAATGTAAGAATAAAAGTCAATGGCTCATAAAACATCACTACACATTACCTCATCTGTGCTGATGATAAGCTGGGACCAACTATTCCACTCTGGACATTTGTCTCTCTCTTCAAAGGTGACATGATCAGAGTTCCAGCAACAATGTTCATGGTTAAACCAGAATCCCCCTGTGCATATACCTTCTTTTAAGTCTGTCATCCAATGAGCAGAGATGTCTATCAAACCAGCTAATGAACCTGATTTGTGGGGAGGGAGGGAAAGGCCAAAGTTAAACTGAATCTCAGAAACTGTTCTTTGGTCCTCAGAATAAGCTTTGTCAGAGAAAATGAGGGGAAAGGAATCAAAGCAACAGATGAGCACATACTTCCCCATTCCACCTGTAACCTCTTTCTCATTGTGTGTTTGCTTGATTTTCACTTATTATCTCTGCACTAAACATTGCCATCTGTAGAATTTCTATATAGAAGGGACTTAGGGGAAGCAAAATGGGTGAGTGGGAGCAAGGGGCTAGTGGGCCTGTCTTTAAGCTGAACTAAGAAGACAAAAACTCTATTTTGACTTCAACTTTATGAATACTGATCCATAAAGAGTCAAGTTTATTAAAGATTCTTTTATTCTCACCTATATATATATATACAAGATTCAGAAAATGTGAATTGCCCAACATTGAGGAATATTCTCTGATGTTTATTTGAGATTGCTTAGAGAGGAGAACTGACGAAGATTATGGGGAGAAGGGCTAAGCCCTGATAGCAGGATTGTGCTCCATGGACAAGGGAATTTGAGCAATGGCAGGAAGGCATTCTAGGCTAAAGGAGCTGAATTTATCAAAGCACAAACTGTGATGTGCATGGAAGGTGAGATGAAGCTATAGACATGTTGAAGCCTCCTGAACCTAAGACATGAACATCCTGAAGTTTTCTTACTGAGAAAGAGCAAACAGTATTATATACACAGAACATTCACCAAAGAAAATGATGAGGAAACGGAATCGTGAACTGGGGTCTTATGCACTGTGGCTAATAGACTGATAGGGTTAAGACAGTTATAGTACTTTAGATTCTGGCCTTCTCATCATTTCTGTCATCCAGATGAAGAAACTCTAGCATAAAGAAATTAAATGGCCCAGAATCATGCTTTAGGGAAACAGTAAAGCCATCATAAAATTCACAGTCTCTGAATTCCCAGACTGTTCCAGCATTCAGACACACTGCTTCTATTGTTGCTCTCCAATGCTTAAAAACAAAATACCCTGTGTGTACAAGGGAAAGAAAAATATTCACTGACCACCTAGTGACAAGAAATACATTAAAAGTTTGAGGATATTATGCCTACATTCCAACAGGCGGGAGGCCATGTCATGTGTATGTTTTGGTAGGTGCTAAAAGTGTTAACACAGGCTATTTACATATTTGAAGAATCTAGTCAAATCTAACACATTGTTTGACACCTACTCTTGGCCACTCCGGTCCACAATCTTCTCTGCCTTCTAACTCTTACTGCCTGGATTCAGAAAATTACCATGATGTTATACAGTTTGGCTTATTCTCTGGTTGTTTCATGTGTGCATGTCTTATTTCACCTAACACTGGTACCCTCAATCCTGTCTTCTCCTTCTACCTCTCCTCCTCCCCAGAGTCAGTTCTTTCTTCTCTGGTTACAAATTTTATTAGGTTTCCCCTACCCTGAAGAATAAAATGCTGTCCCTTGTCCTTGTTGTCATTTCAAGTCTTTACCTTTCCTCTCTCTCCTATGACTACCAAAACTTCTACAGTGGTTGCCTTCCCTTGAAATCTATTAGGTTGGTGCAAAAGCAATTGCGGTTTTTGCCATTAAAAGTAATGCAATTACTTTTGCACCAACCGAATAGATTTAGCTCCTAATATTTTTCTGAGATGGCTTTTCAAGGCAACTGCTGTGTTCCTAACTGCTAGGTGATATAATCTTTTCTCAGCCATCTTCCTTCTCCTCGGCCTCTCTGCAATACTTAGCATTACAGACCACCCAGTCTATTATTAGGCAGCTCCAAACAGCCAGACCATGTTCTCTCTCCTGTAAGAGCCAGAAGGGGCAGAATTAACACCCCAGGCCATGGGTTGGCAAACTATAGCCCAAGGGCCAAATCCTGCCTATCTCCTATTTTTGCAAATAAAGTTTTTCTGGTCACAGCTAGGCTTGTTTGTTTACCTGTGGTCTATGGCTGCTTTCATGCCACATCAGCAGAATGGAGTGGGTGCTACAGAGAACACTTGACCCACAAATCCTAAAATATTTACTATCTGGCTTCTTTACAGCATAAGTTTGCCAATCCCTGCCCTACACAATTTTTGAAAACCCAGCTATAGATAAGCCATTCCTCATTTGCTACAGTCACGTTCTACTTCATGGCTCATGAATTATTCTCTCTTGGTAACGGCAGCGGCAGCAACATTAACAACTGGCTGCTGTGCTTAATAAGTGCTATTATGTGCTATATCTCATTTAATCCTCACAGCAAACTTCTAACATAGGGACTTTGATTATCACCATTTTACAGAGCAGTAAACTAAGGCTTCCAGGGGTTAAGAAACTTGCTCAAAGCCACAAAACTATCAAGTGGTGGGGCTTGGATTCAAATCCAGGCAGCCTAAAACTAGAGCATCTACTTGCTGTTAACTACCACTGTATACCTTCCACCTCCAGGTTTCCATCTAACTTCTCTTTCAGCTCAAGATTACAGATTTGCCTAGGCCCTATCCTTTAATGCCATAAGGACACACCTCTTACCATCTCTACCTAGTGTCCTTGGCCCTCTGCTTCCTCCACTGGGTGAGAAACCTTCTTGGGAACTTGGTTGAAAGCTGTATTTGTACAGCAACTATACCATTTTTAGTGAGACTGTATATTATTTGGAGTGGCGGGGGAGATTGATGGAGTTTATAGGGCAAGGTGGCACCATTCCACCCCCAGCCACTATGAAAGAATGAGATCATAAGCTTCTTGGGAGTATGAGCCATATCTTACATGCTTTTCTGCATCACCAAATGAGAGAGTAGATGTTTAAGAAACACCCACAAAATGTCTCAGGAAGTCCTCTTCCACATCTTATCTCCTAAAACCCATGCAGTATATATTTAAGAAAAAAAAAAAAAAACTGTCTCCAACAGAAGGGCTCTTCCTCAAAACAAGCACCAAAGGGCTAACATCACCTTAAAATGGATACAGTATTTTATAGTGTACAAAATACATTTAAATGCATTTCCTCATTTATTTAAGGTAAGAATTGCAGGTATTAGTACCCTTTACAGATGGGGACATTGAGCTTCTACAAGGTTCACCAGCAATTCATTTAAGGTAGAAAAATAGGAAAACACAGTACCTGACTCAGCTCAGGACTTACGGGAGAGACATACCACAATTTTAGGAGATTTGTTTTGAAAACTAACAGTTTACCATACCTGATAAAAGCCCAATAAGGAGCATCAACAACCAGCCGGAAAAAGCATCACTCACACTGTGAATTAAGGCCCATGTTGACTCTTTGCTTTTATTGGTAATCTAGGGGAAAATGAGAAAACATTGGTACACTCTACACACACCCTTTTTTCACTTAAAAACTGTTCAACAAAAAAAGACAAAGACAAATCACTGGAGAATAGAGACCAATTTAGAGCTACTTTTCACATAATCTTTAGCTCAACCAGTTTCACTAACAACTTTTGAGGTTTACTGAAACCCCACCTTCATCTACAGTATTGTAATGCCCGCAAATCCCTTATTCAGAGCTTCCGCCCAAGCTGCTCATTTCTTACAGCATCAACTTGTTTTGCTTATTGCAGTGGTATCTTTCTGTCCTGGACATCAGATATTCCAAGGACAATCTCTTGACTCACAGCAAATAGTTTCAATGTTTTTCAAATAATAAACAAACACAGGCTTATTTGAGTGATAAAAGTACAAATTGAGGCTTAATACCTGGGGGCTGTGGTTCAGGTCAGGCAAATTCCCAGACTTAATCCCACAAACCTCTAATTGTACAGTGGTCACAGATACTAAGTGATAGCAACAATGTATCAAAAACCTGCTGGTAACATCAAGGCTATCAGGAGGTGCAGAAAGTTTTATCTTTTAAGTCCTAGACTTAACAATTTAACCCTTCAGGGCCTACATTTTAAAAATCAACATTCTGACAGTTTTGTCACTGGTACCTCCCCTTTCTCTGTACCTCTATTTCTTATCTTTGAAATGGCAACTTAGTTACCCCACCTTATCTACAGTAACGTCACAAACAATCAATTATTCTGAAAATTTCAAAAGCATTTTTTAAAATAGTTTTGACCTGTGACTCTAAGTTTCCAATTTCAGTACTGGAAAGGAACAGTTACATTTTTCCCTGTGACACTGTTTCCCTTCTGATAATGAACAGTTAATGCAAAAAAAAAAAAAAAAAAAAAAAAAAAAAGCTCCCTTGGACTATTTGATAAACACAATTTAACTGGTTTTGGATTACTAATTGGCATAATTTGCCTCAGATGCAACCATTAATATAAAAGGAAGTGTGCACTTGTCATATCACAGGTGACTCTCATAATCTGGATAATATGTTGAATATGCAACTGATGACAAACTGGTAAATTACAGATGGCAGAAATTCTAAAGCCTGCCTGATGAATTGATACATAACGATAAAAAGAATATGTGTATATGTTCCCAAATGGCAGAAATCTTATGAAAAACATGAAATGCTTTATAGTGATCAACTTTTCGAGTTGTGGCAAGAAAACTCAGTAGAATCACCAGATATCCAAGGATTAAGAAGGAATTTCTCAAAACCTATACTTGGGACAACCTGACTCCTGGGTTCAGGTGGTCGTGAGAAAACCAGTCAGGAGCTGGAAAGGCTTAAGAATGAAAGGCAATCTCCATCTGACTACTCAAGACATTTGCTTGGTTCTAAGAGGAGGAAATCATGAACTTGGGAGAGAATGGGGCAGCTTAAAAAATCACATTTCAAATCTGGAGTCCAAGCAGAAATAGTAAGAAAGAAAAAATAATAATAATATCTATTGTGGGTTGAAGAAGTGACTCACCAGAGAACCACCTACTGAGAATCTCTGGGGTTGGACACCTATTTTTTCTAATAAGCTCTCCATGTGGTCCTTCTACAAACCAGAAATTGTGATTCCCTAATTTAAATGATACACAGCAACAAGTTAAAGGCAAATGACCTTGGCAGGTCTCTCTGAGAAGTTTTCACAGTACTTCAAAAAGAGAGAAGTGGGGAAATCCTCTTGCTAAATTCAGAAGAACCTGTGCCATAGCAGGTACTTATGTACCATAGCAGGTACCATAGATGGTACTTACGTACCATCTATTACCTATCACATTAAGTTAATGTCCCCAATTTGAATTTAACTGGTCTTGTGGTTTTGTTGGAGTTGAAAGCATAAGTTTACTTTGGTTTTATGGTTGCACAAGAGCAATAATCACAAGGAGTTTACTTTGTAAACTCAGTAAACACTAGGGCTCTGAGATTTTTTTCTTTTATTCCTTTAACAAAAAATCATTTACTTTTCTTTGTTATGAATATCCTGCATTAAGGAAAAAACCATAAAAGAGAGATGAGATGGGAAAGGAAGATCTTTGACATTTATTTTGCCACCTTCCTCCAAGTTTGTTTTCACCTCTCTTCAGAGGCATCTATATCCCTTTTTGCTGTAAGGATCCTTTTCAACTATTTACTATAGGAAGATAAATCATTAAATACAATTTTAAAAATTTAGGATAAAAATTATGTGCAAGCACCAACATGGCACATGTATACATATGTAACAAACCTGCACATTGTGCACATGTACCTAGAACTTAAAGTGTAATTAAAAATATTATGTGCAAGTTGTCTTTAAAAACAAATTTAAAAATGAAACCCTATATTGCCAACAGAAACCAGATTCAGTCACATCCAGGGCTGAAGAAAGGAAAGAATAGAAAGAATATGTATCTTCAATTTCTTCCCCTGTATTTCCTAACACTTACCCAAGTGTCGTCTTTTGTCTTACCTCTCGGTGCCTATCCCGGTCTCGAGACTTCTCTCGCACCCAGTCAATTGTATTGAAATCATCATATGTCCCTACACCAGGGATTGGCTCCTCCAAGAAGTCCATGATCCTATTTGAATAACCTATTCCTCCACCATTGTACGACTTGTCCTCTGTATTGAACAAGAAACAGACATTAGTACTTCAGAAACTCTTAACATTTTTAACACGTTCTTTTTGGTTCCAAAAGGCAGGCCCTTAAACTATCAGATGACTACAGTTGGGGTTGATAAAGAAATACAGTCACCTGGTAGGAACATCCATTACATTCAGAGATTTCTGTGGTGTAGGCACAAAATGATGAGTGGCTAAAGGCAGTGTGAATGGAAAGCGACAGATGAGAGTGACAGTACAAAGAGAGAAACAACAGGAGTTGATGCGCAATGGGAAAGGATTTATGAAACAAAAGACAAAAAGGAGGTTGGAGCAGCTTAGGTATTTCAGTTTATGGAAGGGAGAGAAAAGGGTCAAAGGCACTTGCAGCCATATCACATCAAGAACCATTTTACATTTATAAGGTAATAATTCAATCCTATGAAGTGGTTTTTGCCTGACTGGGGACTCCAAATAAAGCATGTGGGCCTCTTCACAAGTTAAGTTCGCTGGAATGTACAAATTTCCCTTCAATAGGTATAAGACTTGATCTCTGACGTAACAGGCTTGTAAGAACTCTAAGTATGTCAGCACAGTCTAAGATCTACAAGCAGAGATTTAAAGAACAGTGCATGATTCAGTGATTAAATGTCCCTCTCTGATCCTTCAACTGGAAGAAACATATCCACCTGCCCACCCACCATAGTCCCTTATCTACTTTGCTTTGGGTACTTTTATTACAATTACTTCTGTGCATGCTTTATCTTCCTTTCTAGACTAGAAGCTCTTTGCTGGTAGCCCAATATCTGATTCATCGTTCCCTTCTCTAGGGTGTCTAGCACATATCCAAGAATCAGTAAATATCAGCTGAACCAAAATTTGTTTGATGAACAGTGGGAATGGGGGAGAAAGTTTTAAACTCACAAGCTATACTCACACAAGGCTTAAACTTGACAAAATATTTCAGCAACATCATCTGATGGAATAAGATTTTGCTATTAAACACAAAATACAAAACAGTACTGAGGAATCTATGCAAATACACACTGGGGAAAAGTGCAGAGTAATGTCATCATTTAATTCACCCAGCCAAAGCTCACATTTGCAGCACCAACCTTGGCAGGGACAAGGCTTCCTCCAGACTGTTTGGTAATGAATCCCTCAGCAGAGGAGGCCCAAGTGGGCCTGAACTGACTCCCTCTCCTCCCATCTGCATCCCCATCTTCACTGTAAACTCCAAACAGACAACTTTAGCACTCTTATGGGGAAAGTTTGAAGGAACACCCCAAGCTGTACTTACAATTGGTTGACCAATTGTAAGTCTTCTGAATACTTAAGTCAGCACGCCTTTCACAGGCAAGGTGCATATTTGAAAGAAAAAACTCTGCAGAGTCCAAATCATCTGTAGGGTGGGGGTGGGGTGGGGGTGGAGTGGAAAAGGTGAACAAGTTAATCTTAAACCCAAACCAAAGTCCTTTCCATATCTTCATTCGTACCTGACTGTAAAATGGATGGCTGCTGAATCACCAGCCCAGCATTTCCTATCATGTCAGTGTCATACCAATAAAGATGAAAGCTGGTGTGTTTCTTGAGAGCTTAGAGGGAAAAAGCCAGCTAGGAAATGAGCGCAGAAAGAGGATAAAGTATGTATGTGTGGAGGTGGGGGAGGGCAAGCTGTTTCAATTCTCAAGTCCCATGCTGACATGAACACAGGACACCAAACCACCAGATATTTACTTTTTAAGGCAGGTTAATGCTCCAGTTGAATTTGCTCTGGTTTAAGAGTTTTCCTTTCAGAGGGGAAAAACAGGATTTTGTGAAACTGATTTTAAAAATCATCTGATAGCTATCTAATGTTACACTATCAAATGAGGCCCCTACCTTTAAGGATATTAAGGCAAAATGAAGATCTGCAACAGCTTCTAGCAGGAAAGAAAGAATCCTATTACATCACTAGGTAACATGAGCACCGCATCCTCCTCCTTTGTAGTCCGGTTTCCTTAGAAACGCAATTGTCAGGCCCCTCTCAAAGAGCAGGCAGTGATTAGAATCCTACAACAGACTGTGTGCGATTCTCCAGACCCCCTGCTCCCGGGGGGCATGCTTCAGTCCTTGGTCGGGCTCAAGTCTGCTTACCTTCAATCACAGTTTTCTTTTTTTCTGCCTCAAGGAAGAAATAACCTTGGCAGCCCGCATTTGGTCATTTAGGTTGGGGAGCTGTTACAAAAGAAGCCCCAGTCTGAAGTGCTTTAGAAGGGCACTTGCTGCATTCTCTGCCTTTCACAGCAACAAACGCCACCTAAAGAACTACCAGTGTTCCCTGGCGGTCAGAATGTGATGTCACTGCTGGAGTCACGTGACCAGACCTTTGGACCAGCCTGGGAGAAAGGAAGATTTTTAACCAGGCACAGAAGCCTTAAAGATGTAGTCTCATCTAAACAAATGCCATCAAACTGGTGGCAGTCGGGTCAGCTCAGGAAACCGGGGTCCAGACAAGTCTTAATCTTCATTTAGCAGAAAGTCCAAGAAGGCAAAGTAGAAATACCCAAAAGAATTTAGAGTTACAGGGGTCCTAAGTATAAAAGGGAGAAAAGCAAATATAAAAAAGGTTTTTTAAAAAATACACTGGATAGCAACAACGTGGGTAAAGTCTCACAAACCTAATGCTGAGTGAAAGATACCAGACACAAAAATGCACATAACATTCATTACGACTCTATGCCTCTAAGTTCAAAAACAGACAAGCAAGTTATATCATTTTAGAATACAAATGTAAGTGATTACATTTCAAACAGAAGCAAGGAAATGGCAAAAGTAAAGACAGAAGCTATCCAGAGTAGAGGACTGCCATGTGGGAGGGGCACATGGCAAGGGCAGGGCTTCTGGAATGCTGGTCATTTTTCTTGATCTGGGAGGTGGTTTATCTGAGCGTTCACTTAATAATTATTCTTTAAACGGTACACATGTTTTATGCTTCATGTACAAGTCATAATTAAAGAAAAATGTGAAAAACTGAACTGCATGTGAACTTACTATACAAGGTCGGTTCTTTAACAGCACCTCATCACTTTGAAAACCCAGAGTATAGTCAAGAAAATGAGTTGTTTCTGAGTAGTAATGCTCTACCCAGAAAGCAACGACAACTCTGATACTCATTAATCCAACCTGGATGAAAGTAGCTATTTTAGCCTGAAAATAAATTCACTATGATGTTTCCATGGTTTTAAAGGGTTGTGAAGGCTATTTTAAAGCAGGTCTTAATTAATTGCACAATAAGGCCAGTTCGGTAAAGAAGAATAAAACTGCTATCTCCCAACTCCCTAAATTGGGAGGATTCCCTAAGGGAACGTGAAGGACAGCCACTGTTAAATATTAACCCAGTCACAGTGTGCTGTAATAATTGGACCCTATGTGTAGAGCTTTGAAATGGTATTACTCGCATCAATTCTTAAGGTTCGATATACCCTGAAATGTTAATACAACAAAACTTTATGAAATGTGAGGCATTGCATGGGACCTGTATGCTTTCAGTTCATCATTGTTACATTATCTCACCCACTTGATGAACTAATCTAGCATTAATTAAGGAGAAGGATTGAAAATGAAGTGGCAACTGACTATATTAAGTGGCCATGAGCTACATTGCTTCTTAAAGCAAAAACCATTTGTGGCCCAACTGTGACTGTCTTATTTGATTAAACTTTCAGAAAAGTATGTCTATCTCACTCAAAGAGGGTAATGTGCCCAACCTCTAAAGCCTCCTTCCAAGTTGCTCATTTGTAAACACAATTTTACCTGTAACAGTATCTGAAGACCACTACAGAATTCACTTGTATTATCTAGTATGATTTACATTATCTGTTAGATTATTTTACACTCTAGCAGCTATAGTATTTAGCAGTTAATTCAGCAAAGATACTATCTTTTTTGATACATAAAAATGTATAGTTCTATGGATTGCATGGCTGGTGCCATGTTATTAACTTTTAATGAAAGTTCATGTGTTTCTCAAATGCTTTATCAGGACTTCCAAGGGAGGCACTTTTTTTTTTTTATTCCATGTACAGTTACTTCCTTTGAGCACTAGAGGGCTGGTGGTTATGATTCAGTCCTCATACTAAATAAAATAAGATTTAATTACAATTTAGATTAAGAAATAAGGCACCAGTATCAGAGTTTGACATGCTTTATTTCTTTTATTCTTTTCTACCCTCCATGCTTTCTCTGGCAAATTTGCCATCTTTAGTGTGTGTTCATTATACAGACTGCTCAGTGTAGGTCAATTGATATTATTGTGAAAATCAGATAAAGAAATTCTTACCAATTTTTGATGCATCCTATGATAAAAATGCAATAATAGAATATTTTGAGATAAGCAGAATACTTTCTGAAACACTGATCTGACCAGACTATTTCCCAATTTTTACAATGCCAGTGGCCCCTGCGCAATATTTTGAAAACTTTTAGCACATGAAGACCTCTAAATGGTTAACTGACACAAGTGCAGACTGTGAATTTAAAAATATTCATCCTACTTTTTAGAATAGGAAAAACAATATATTTTAAAATGTATAATAATGATGATGATGACAGCCATTGCTACTATTTTAGGTTTCATCAATGAAAAGGTTTAACTTGTTCACACACTTTCATCAAGATATCTATAGCTGACTTGATGACAAACAGCTTAAGTCGCTGGTCATATTCCACATCTAGCTGGTTTCTTTTCTTAGCATTTTTAAAACTTAGTAGAAAAAAATAGGCCGGGCGCGGTGGCTCAAGCCTGTAATCCCAGCACTTTGGGAGGCCGAGATGGGCGGATCACGAGGTCAGGATATCGAGACCATCCTGGCTAAAACGGTGAAACCCCGTCTCTACTAAAAAATACAAAAAAACTAGCCAGGCGTGGTGGCGGGCGCCTGTAGTCCCAGCTACTCGGGAGGCTGAGGCAGGAGAACGGCGTGAACCCGGGAGGCGGAGCTTGCAGCGAGCTGAGATCCGGCCACTGCACTCCAGCCTGGGTGACAGAGCGAGACTCCATCTCAAAAAAAAAAAAGAAAAAGAAAAAGAAAAAAAGAAAAAAATAAATTTTTAAAATTTAACTGTCAAGAATGGCAGCAGAAATGATCTACCCATCAACTAATGATGCGCAAAGTTATGAAATGCAAAAGGTTTTTCAAAACACAATGCATTAAGAGCTAAGTTTCTGGCATGTAAATATGCTGCCAAGGAAGGCAGAGTAAAATTAAACAATGAGCCCACGTGTCAGGTTGGGGTACTTAGGTGAGTTTAGATTTTTGACTCTATAAGAAAAAATAAATAAAACTTATTTCAAATTTTGAAGGCATAGTAAATGTTATATATAAAATAACTTAATGTTCTAACAGAAAAATTATTCAAGTTAAAGTACAATTAGATCTCAACTTGAATGACAGAACAAAAAGCCCCCAAAAGGCTAATTTGCATTGCCTGAGTCCAGGAAAAACGTACAGTAAACCAGTCAGAGAAAAAAGTCAACATTGAAACAGCTTTCCCGTAGGGTTATACTCAGGTCTAAGACTTAACAACAGGTCTTTAGAAACACACTGCTTGAATGAGCAGGCATATAAATGAATGTATTTAACTCAGTTCCCATTATGGAAACCACTTTCTAATTTTTTTTCTAAAAATCACATGATGCTTTAAACTGGAAAACCCCTTAAAATACAAGAAAAAAAAATCTGTTGAGAATAATGTTTATTTAAATCCCTAACCAATATGCCATTAGAAATTTACCTAGGGGGCTGAACAGTAACTGATTAAGTGAACTAGTTAAACACTAACAAAAACACAAGGGGAAAAAGGATAGGAAGAAATCTCATGCACAGACCTTGAAGTACTGCTTTAGTAATATTATAGCTGCATGAGGGCTCACTAATTGGCAACAGCCTAAGGAAATAAATAAGCACTCAAAGAAATGGGGCAGGGCTATTGGTATATATCACAGGACTTGAAAATAGTCCCGTTAAAAAATGTATTTCAGTTTTACAGGGATATATTGTATTTTTGCAAGGCTGGAACCACATGTATAAAAAATTCAACATCATGCCTAGCACACATCAGCAGATATTCATCCTGTGGTCATTTAAACTTTACTTGCATTCAACAGCAAATACTAAGAGCCTATTATATGCCACTTCTTACTTCCATACCTGCACCCTGCTTCCCTTCTTGTACTGGTTCATCCATTCTAGATCTCCCAGTAAGTCACATAAACTCTTTCACATCCCATTTCACCTCTTTGTCTGATAGTACATTACAGCAGAAGCCCTGATAATTAATCAACATTTGTAGGAACTTTCTATCTAGCAACTTGTGCCTTCATTTTGCTTCTATTTTGTTTTCCCACTTAACTAAGTCCAGGGTCAAAAAGCAAATGTTGTTGGAGTAGCCCTCCTATCTAAGTCCTGGATAGTATCTATCCAAGACTACATTATGCTTTAGTATACTCTTAGTCGACCCCTGGGACACTTATTCAGGGCAGCTATTCTGTTGGTATGCATCTATATGCCATACCAGTTTGCTAAATACTGAAATACTTCAGTAGCTACAGATAAATAACCACTTTTTTCCTGAGAACTCTCCTCCCCCACCTCACCCTACCCTAGAAACTCCTGAACTTACCCATGATCCAGCAAATGGAATACCAGGAGGCTCCAGGACACTGCCCCAGTGCTATGTCTGACAGCCAATCCGATTGGGCAGTGCCTGCGTTGTTTTGAATCTCATCCCTGCACTCATTTCATTTAGTGATCCACTGCTTTGGTTCCTGTTTATAGCAAGTTAAAACTTGGAAGGTGTCTAACACGCAGGAAGGACAACAAAGAAGAGACTCTATCCCGACTCTGCTGAGAACTAGGCAATAAAAGGGGTGGTGAAGGCTGTGGGAAATGGAACTGCAAGAACCCCAACAAATCTATTGTATCGAAATGAAGTTTGAGAGTTATGAGAAAAATACAGGAAGGTTGGGCACGGCAGAAAGGCATAGGGAAAGCTGTGGAGACAAGCATGAATTCAGATTCTAACACCTCCTTCTGACTCTTTATTCCCAGTGGATACAGCTCCATCTTCACTGGGTTGTAGATATTTGCTTGGGGTGTATCTCTTGTAGCCCTCTTATTCCCAGCATCTGCTCAAATCTGGAAGTTCCTGACTCAACTCACTTTCATGGCCAGTGGAACCAGGGTGCTAATTGACAGAGTTATCAAAGTAACCAAAACAGCATGAGGACTTTGGCTTGGTATCTGCAGGCTCCCACTGGACTAAGATGCCACAGAAAGCAATGTAGCAATGAAGTAAAGGGGCTAGATTTGACAAAATTGCTGAGAGGGCTCTCCACAAAAAGTAAACAGTGCCCTACTCCCTTACTTATTCTTCATTCCTTCCTTCTCAATTGTACACATTTATGGGACTGTCAAGAGAATGGGGAATGTCATGGGTAGGGAGACACTGCCCTAAAATGCCTATTACATACCACAGTGTTGGGAAATCCTTTGGGTAGCATGATCCTGCCTAATAACTTCTAATTATTGTTTAGAACTGGAATTCTCCAGTTCTGTCCTAAGTCTACATTGGTTTCTATCAATTTCCAAAAGGAAACTGGGCACACGAGACTAGCAATTATTCTTTAGTGGCAGGGGAGGGGGGGTGGAATTTCAAGAGAGAAAAATACCAATCGTGAAATTCTCCTTGGATTCATAGGAATTGTGTGATGTCATGGACAGAAAAATAAGTTTCAAAAAAGCATATATATATCTCATGTGGGAATTACCCTTAAAGACACAGTTGCACCCGTGCACACCAGTGTATGTGTGTTATTCATTGCAGCACTGTTTGTAGTAGCAAAAACCCAGAAACAATAAAATTATCTACTAATAGGGAAATAGTGCAAGGAAAGAAGTAGACTGGTGTGTAGTGAAATAGAAATGTATTCCAGACATATTATGTGAAAAAAGCAAGTCACGAAATAAGAAGAATATGTCTTTTTTTATTTTTTTATTTTTTTAATGTGTGTCTGTATATGTGACTGGATAGAGAAAGAACTGGAAGGATCATACTGAATTCTTTTCGGTGGTTGTCTCTGGAGTGGGAAGAACAGGGGAGACTTTCACATTTTAAAAACCTGTGTATTGTTTGAATCTTTTATAGTGAGATATATTTATGAGTTATATAAGTGATTTTGAAAAGAAAAAATACTAGCAATGCAACTGGAAGAGTAGAGACAGGACACTGCAAGGAGCAGACCTATGTTCTGGAAGGCAGATTACTGGGATACTTGTGGACAAAGCAGGTGATAGTTTCTGGTGAACACCAAGAGGGAAAGCCCTGAGAGGAAGGCGGCTTATTCAGTTTTTAAACAAGAACAAAGTGTGATCAGACCTATTATCCTGCAGTGAGAAGATGTGGATTCCAATCCTAGCTCCATAACTCACTAGTTGTGTCACCTCGGGCAACTGCCTTACTCTCTGTGAGTTTACAGGTTTGCCATCTGTAACATGAAGGGATATTAGCAAGTATAATGTTGAGGTCCCTTCCAAATTCATACTCTATCATTTAAGAGTTGATTTTTTGTTTGGTCACTCATATATTGGATTGAATGACTTCTGAGAGGCCCTTATCTTTAAGGAATTCCAAATGATATTTTGATTGCATAGCTAACTGAGAATGCTCTACTGGCAAGATCATAAAATGGTGCTACCAATCATTAAAAAAGAAAGGTAAGACTCAGCTCATCAGCGAGGTACAGGACTATCTAGTATCTCACTGAGACTCAACATTTCTGGCATATGGTTAACTACACAGAGCTATACCCATATGGCTACAGTATCTCTGGATTACCTGGCAGCCTCAGATCTTAGAAACATATGGCGCATACCCCCTGAGGCATTACAGCAACCCCTTCCTCTACCATGTGTCATAAATTGGAACAAAGTGGAGCCAAAAAATATATCTCCTTCAAGAAGGGACCAAAGTGGTTTTATCAAATGAAAATGGGGAACCTCTGGATTCAGCTCCTGCAAGCAAAGAGCTTAGAAGTTATTACTCTCATCCTTACAACAACAAAACGTTGGATAAACCAAAAAAAAATCAATGATCTTCCTTGGACCCATTGGAGAACTGAGGTTGCAGAGGAAACTGCCACCCCAAAATCTGAAGAGACAAGCTTATTCAAAGAGACACAGCTGAGATCTGCTTACCTGGAGTAGAAATGGCTGGAGCTGGTAGAAACACAAATGGCAACTTGAACAAGCTGCTGAAGGCTGAGTGTGGACTAGTGTGAGTACAAAAAACTCCTGGGGACCACAGTCTTAGCGGAGCTCCTACACCAAAGCTCTACCTCCAGGAATCCCACCAAGTTCTCACAGTGAAGATCTAAGAATCCCTCCTGGCTCTGACAAGGGGAGGGAAAGAGATATTATTGTGAAATTTGCCAGAGATTTCTCCGTAACAAAGGCCTCAGGGGAAAATACTTTGCCTGAGCCTTATCCTGGTTGGGAGAAGGACATTCCTCCCACTCCCACCCCCTCTAGCCTTCTTATCTCACCTAAAGCAGGGGAATATACTCAACAGGGTGCAGGGCTTCAAGTAAACACATTGGGAATGTTGCAGTCAAAGAAGAGAGTAGAGGGCAGGGAGGACAAAAAGCTATACTACTGGAGAAAAATGTATGAAGGTCATAGCCACAAAACACAGTTCCATCAAACAGTGATGTTTAATCAGAGCATTATAAAATTACCACCTCCCCC